CCCCAAAACCCCAAAACCCCAAAACCCCAAAACCCCTTTGTTTACCACACAAATTGAATGTTTACGATTATGATACTTCCTTGCTATCATTAAAATTATATTGCATTTAGAAGAAGAGGAAAGACTTATGCGAATTCGTGTCTCTAAGATGACTATCAGAAGATCTAGTCTTAATCTTTGGAAATTCACTCTGAAAGTTACTCCTTTTCTTTAGCATTTTTACGTTCCTAGAGTCCTTCTTGCATAGTTTGGGAAGCATCTTCTCCTTAGCTTTCATCATAAGGAATGCGTTTACGGTTTTCATCTGCTCTAACTGGGTTGACTTGCTGCGGGAAGTATCCCTTGTACGGAGAGGTGTCTGCTTTTGGTCAGATATACTGCCCTTTTTGAGGTATTGACATGTCTATGGGAAGATTAGAGGATAGTTAGAACTCAAAACCTACACTCATTATTTTATTTGAACCCGTTTTGTTTTGTTTGACAAGATGAGAAAATTCCTTATTTTAATATCCCCTTCGCCATTTTCATTCTAATTATTTTCTCTTTGTAGTTTGGCTTCAGATCAGAAATGTTTTTGATCTTTTTGAAAGCCTGAATATGATCAAGGCTGGAGAGCACAGCTGGTCTAGTATGCGACTTTCTAGGGAGAGAGTCAGTTTTTAATAGAATATTAATAATTTATTCGCTAAAAACTTCAAACCAAAATATGCAAACATTCATTCTTACTTCCTCTCTTGATCGAAGAGTAGTTTCCCTTGGTTTGATTTCAAATGAAGAGGATACAAGGGCTGAAGCTGTTCTGCTTTACTGGTAATATACTTTTCCTGTAATCCACTGATCTCTATTAAAATGGTTAGTTTTTAAATTGGTTAGATGTTTACTTGTTTGACAACATTATCCAGCAAGAATGCAAAGAAAACTAGCATTACTTTTCTTTGGCTTAATCCTGATTACGGTAAACTTGGATTTTTTGTTCCTCAGTTTCAGGATTGGTTTATTTTCCTTCTCTTCAATTCTTCTTTTAAAAATTTGAAGTTTTGAGCATGCCTCTTTATAATTAAAATGAGCCCCAGTTTCTTGATCGAAATATTTTTGAGATTGTTCTGGATCATCGTGATGGATTCCTTTGTAATTGTCTAAATTAGTATTTGTCTGATCCTCTTCAAAGTTAAAGTCTAATTCCATATTTATATTAAAATATATTTATCCCAAACCATTTCAATATTCTTCATACAAATGGGGTTTTGGGGTTTTGGGGTTTTGGGG